GACTCATTTTCAGTGCATTGTTTTAAAGATTACAAATAGCTATTCCTCACATTTGCTTGATCCATATTAGAGACATGAATATCATTGAAAAAAATAGAGTATTATTACATTATAGTTTTTCTAAAAATTCCCAGATCTTTAAATGGCCAAGCACGTTATCTCTGTTGTCATTTGAGAAGATTCCTAACTATTGATGGTGCAGCATTATCCTTTCTCTTGCCAATTAAAAAAGAAAAAATTATTGTGGCAGTTAAAATATTTTAAATTTTTTCTTTTTGAAATGGCTCATTTTAAGGTAAAATGACACATAAATTTTGAGTTTTTGCGGCTTTTCATGAAGAAAGTAAATTATGGCTAGTATGCTTTTGTGAGCATTCTTCTGATTTATTTGGGATGAGAAAGTTAAAGCAATGGGAAATAATGTAAGTGGTTCAGAAGTTTCTTGAGCATAGCATTGAAGGAAGATAACCAATAAGTGGAAATTCCCAGAATGACCAAGGAGGTTGATGGATGTTGTGGAAGTCTGATTCTAAGAACTTCTTGTATTAGTTGCTATTTTATTCTCTACAAATGAAAAAATGCTTGGAAATAATCCTCCTTCACTTTTGTGAGAGTAACTTAACATTTTGGGATTGGGTAATTCGGGTGAGTACATTGAATAAGAAAATGTAGAACCAGAAGGGTGAGAAGAGTCAAACCATTTCATAACAAGGAAAACTTTAATGGCCTTTTAATTTATAGTCTGGAGAACCACTAAAGGGAACTGACTTTTTCAGTTTGTGCAGTAAATTATTTACTGAGCACTTACTAGGCACTGAAGATTCATGCAGTCATTTAGTTTCTGATCCATTTAATTGTACCAGCATCCACTCCCCATTCCCCAATAAGTACTTTTGATTATGGAAGATCTGGCCAAGTCTACAATACAGATAGATTTCCTGAGACTGTAATTTTAGTATTCCTGTCATAAAGTATTTTTATGAACCCCTGCTCTCTTAGCAAATACTACTTTGTTTTATAAGTTTTAGCAAAATTCTTATAATAATCTATAATCTTCTCTGGGATTAATGAAAAGCTTCTTGGTTGGAAGCCATGTTTTCATGCTGTCAAAAATTCAATGTCCTCATCTGAATCCTCAAGGATCTCCACAGTGAGGTTCATCCATTTCACTGGTAGATTGTTAGTGCCTACGCAATAAGTGATTAAATGATTGAGTACCTGGATGCTCTAATAATATCTGCCCACTTTTGCCTTTTTTTGTGAAAGCAGAAACAATACTATACCTGACAATATTCTACTGGCTCATTTCCTTGCTCTGAATTGGGTTTGTTCTCTTCTTTGTTTGGGATGGCCCTAGTCTTACTTCTATTATTCCTGTAGGTTCAGCTAAAGCATAGTTAGCCTAGATTTATAATCTTTCCAGTTTATATCAAATGCCTACTCTTTTAATTTTTTCCTTATTACAATTTCTTTTGATATTATATGCTTCATTTTATCTTTATGAACTCTGTAGCTCTCAGATGTTTTCCCTATTTGCACCTACTTTATTACGTCTAGTGTAACTACATTTATAGCTATGACCAACACTTCTTTGTTGCTATGGATACTACAGAGTCTCTGGAATTAAAAGTCTTATTAATGTAGTCTGTTTAGCAGTTATTCTGTTGAGTAATACTATATCATGGTAATAGGTCACTTTAGTACTGAGTAGACGTAGGGGTAGAAACTATTGAATACCTGTATCTAAATGTTATTAATGACATTTGATGGTTTTCACAATGTTTAACTGATCCCCTTCACTCCTCATTGTAGGGTAAAGGAGAGTTTCACTCCAGGCTATAGACAAATTGTTAATAAGAAGTTTGAGTTATTTTTAATGGGAAGGGAAAGTAATCGGAAATGAACAGATAAATCTCTTTCGAGTATTAGTAAAACATTTGTGATAATGATCTCTTCTCAGGCAACAAAGTACAGGGCAGTTTGCTGCATGATTCTCTTTGAAAGTCTGTTCAGTATTTTTCAACTTGAGGACCATTCATGCTAAGAGCTTATAGAGCTCTCCTCTGCTCCCTATATCAACATACTTTGAAGGTATGTCTTATATTTGCATAGAAAGGAAATAAAACTATGTGGAAAAATATTTTTCTTTATATAACACTTCTCTAATTATATATTTATGAATACTGCTCATAGAATATTATTGTCATGGAGCAAAAAGTGACATCTGCGTATCTTTTCTACTCTGCATGGGTGAGCTTTCATTTTAGGTGTGAAAATATCACAGCACTATGATATATTAAGCCCATTCAAATAATGATTTATATTAAAAAACAATTTCCCTCATTTTAGAGAGGAAAGAAAAATACTGGTACCTTGTCAAACATTGTTCATAAAGGTACTCATGTTCATCCTTTCTGAAAACTGTTAGTCTCAAATAATTTTAAGTTCTTTGCTCAAACCCATCATTGATCTTTGTCAGACCAGTGGCTAGAAAGTCTCTGGTACTAGTTGTAAAACTTAGAGGAGATGGTTCTGAACTAATACCCCAGAGTGATGCCAAGAGAAAAAGCGTGGCTCTATTTCTGGATATACTGACCATATTTCTTAGAACAATTTTACTTTGATTAAGATTCAGAAAGATAAATGTCTAAAAAAGAAGTAAATAACTTTTTGTTTTGGAAAATAGTATTAACCACGTACGAATACCAGTCAGCAGTGTTGGAGTGAGGCTTTTGTTCTGCATTAATGTTCTTAGTGCACATTGTACAAATATAGAAGACATCTTGACCTGTAAAGGAATAAATTGCATCTCTCATGTTAATTATATTTTATAATGCTTTTTCTAAATATTACAGTTTCTTTGGATTATGTTTATGTATTCTGGAGAAGAAAAATTTCTTAAATAGATTGATAATTAGATAGACCCTAAAACTACCAAGAGAAACATAAAATGTGGTTAGCTCTGTATGCTCACAATTTGTTAAAATCTTAAGCTTGGTGGTGCTGTATCACTGTCCAAAGAAAATGCTCTTAAGTAGCCCTACTATCCTTAGAGCTGGTTATTTTGCTTTTGTACATTTAATAAAAACAGTCTCAAATATTTCTTTGTGTAATTCATGGGTAATGGTTGAGTCTGTGTGTTAATATCATCAAATACAGCTAGTTTGTGTTCACCTTTCCCACCCCGTTGTTTTGAGGGCTGTCACAGTTTGGGCAGAGAAAATACTTTTCCTAGAATATCAGAATCACAGGTTAGTAAACTTAACTGGACAATTTTATTTCAGAATAGTGTCATGCCTTGTTTCCTTGCTGTGGAATAATTGATGTTTTCTTATATACTTGGCATTAAAACAATTTAGTCAAGCATTTTGAATACAGAAGGTTTAATATGCAGTTATGGAAATTAAGATGCATGCACTTTGAAAATTCAATTGATTATTAAAGGATTTGATTAATCCATGCCAATTTTTTCCCTAGTATTCATGAGTAAGCTCTGTATTTATATGAGGAGATTGGTAATGTTAGATTTGTAAATGTCAGTTTTAGTCTAAAGTTTTACAGGTATTGTGATTTTAAATTGTACTTGGTTGTAATACAAAAATAATGAAGGCCAATCTGTTGTTGCAACCTATACTCTTAAGCAAACAAACAAGTAAATAAACAAAAACTGCTTTAGCTATAACTTTTGGCATTTATGATCTGATAAGAAATCTAGGTTAAAGATTAAATACTGGTGGAATATCTGGAACACCCATCTTGCTTAATATTAATAAAATATTAAGTTCTAGCAACAGGGCATATATAAAAGTATTAAAATATTGATTTTGTATTATAGAACATACTGGTGCTCTTGTCTGAAGTTCACAAATAGCGCTGGTAATTGTTGAGGAGTTTTTCTTAATGAAATTCAAGTATTTCATCAGCAAGAAGAGTGTGAGACAAAGGAAAACTTTGGGGCACCTTATGATTATTTAAATTTTGATGTGATGAAACTGTCTTCTGTAGAACTGCCTATGAGTTTGCAGCCTGTTGGTAATAGCCAATGAGCACTGATTCACTTTTGTGATCTCTAGTAGCCAAGAAAGCCATGGACCTATGTATGGGTGTGGTACTGAAACCATCAATATCTGTGGAAAGAGGTGGCTTTGACCCAAATGATCCTTGTTTATGGCCCAAATGATTTTATCGGGTAGCTCATTTAAAGAAAATATTTCAGTAGTATGCGGTGAGGTGAAGGAATGGGAGAAAGAGATTATTAATCTGTAGCCAAATATTTTGTGAAAGTGAGAGGAGGACTAAAATTCATTCTGTGTAGTTTTTAGGGTGGAAAAATGAATGCTGTAAAAATGGAGCAACTGTCTGAACTAATGAATTCCTTATCTCTGAAAAAAAATCCCAACAGATGTTGGTAAATACCTGTTTTGATTGATCCAGTGCTGGGAGATCTCTTAGAATGCTAGAAGTCTATGAAGTAGAAAAACTAATGGAAGAATTTCAGGAGGAATAGAGAGTGAAAGTTACTTAAAAGTTCAGCGTGGGTACTCATACAAAAACTTCATACTTCCAATGCCAAATGCTAACTCATAGTAACCGGCAGAAAAATGAGACAGACATATAAATAATACAAATTTGCATGTATTTTTTTCCCAGCATAGGTAAAATATACCAGAGCAGCCAATATATTTCTAAAAGGAAAACTATACCAAATTTTCTGTCTGTGTGTTATGAGTGAAAGAGACAATTTTGTCAATAAAGGCTTTAGGGATATCTGCATATATACATTTACGTTGAAGTGGATAACACTGGTAGTTTGGTTTCAACACAAATGATGCTAGAGAACTCAAATTTCAGACATGGTCACATATACATATATGCTATTTGAAACTCTTTATCTTGACACAGATCTTGATAGTGAATCTCTTGATGATAGATATGCAGCTAGTTTATCCCGGAAGTCATGAAGATAATTATATTGCTGCAAAAAGTAAAAATATACTGAAATACATTGTAGAAAACTAGTTACCAAAGTATACACAATACTAGCAGGAATGAGGAATGAATCAAAAAACAACTGCTAAGAGCAATTCTATATCTTTTTGGCTAAGAAAACATTTGTAACTTGGGGAAGTTTATCTCAAAATCTGAAAGCATGAAATTTGGATGAATGTTTTATAAGTTTATAGAATCCTTTCTCTCTATATTGGCAGAACTAAGTAAAATTAAAAGCAGTAAATATTTGCTAATGCTTTTTCCCTGTGAAATAAGGAAGGAGAAGGCACTTTCTATAGCAATTAATAATGGCATATTCAGGAATGGGGTTGTGGCTCAGACGTAGAGTGCTTGCCTACTACACATGAGGCACTGGATTCCATCCTCAACATCACATTAAAATAAAGATATTTTTACCACCTATAACTAAAAAATAAAAAATAATAATGGCATATTCAAGAAAATCTTGAGTTATTGAAGCCTCTGTCTCTTGCTTTTTGTGATGATACATTCTACCTGAAACAATTCTTAGAGAATATTTTTTAAAACCAAACATCACTAATCACACAGATAAGCAAAATAAAAGATTTTTAAAATTTATTTGATGTTTAAATAGTTTCCCAAAGGGTATTTTCACTCTGCCAAGCTGCCAATCATTTCATATTATTCCTTTTGTGTGTGTGTGTGTGTACTGGGAATTGAGGGTGCACTACCACTGAGCTACATCTCCAGCCCTTTCTGTTTTTTAATTTTGAGACAGGGTCTCACAAAGTTGCCTAGGCTGTTATCCTCCTGCTTCAGTCTTAAGTCAATGGTATGCATTCCTGAGACACTGAAACCATGTGCTGCCAACTTACATTGGCACAAAGGTGGTTAAAACTAGTTTGCCACAGAATGCCCAGGTGATGAATTGACAGCTCATAATAGTGTGGGCTTCATTCTTTCCAGTATTAAATATGGAAGACAGGCATATTCATTCATATATCAGCCCATATATTTTGTTTCAAAGAGAGTTGAACTTCCTGAATTTGAAACACTTGATTTTAAAATAAGGGGAATTCTCTTTTCAGAATGTATACTGTGAAGCAGACCTTGTATAGATTGTTTTGTGAATGACCTTATTTAATCCTTGAGAATCAAGTTGCTTGGTGAATTTATCAATAATTACAGTAATTCACCATATATGATACTAGGTTATACCCATCCCAGCCCTGGGAAGATGGACTTTCAAGCCCAGGAAGCTGCTTTAATGGCCAGGATTCTTTCGCACCCCCCTTCTAGTCCTAGAGCTGAGACAGGGTACTTGGGAAAAGAAGGCAAAATTAGCATCATAGTTCTACAAATAAAGTGAAATCACAGACTCTTTTTGGTATCATGATTAATATATAATATCCTTAGCATTGCTACTGCAATGTTTTTGAAGTATTAAGGGCAGGGTAAATGTAGAAGAGGTCCATGGCTAAAAACAATTAGTACTGATTTACATTTTTTAAACTATTAATCTTTGTTCAATGTTTTGATGATATAATAGGATCTTTAGTTTTTAACCAAATTTATAGTAACTATCATTATTCCAAGTGAGATGATCCATTCCTAGAACTGAATGGGGGGAAAAAAACTGCAATGGTAGATCTTGAAAGAGTAAAGTAGAAAGTTTAAAAATCTCTTTGTTTTTTTAAATACTGAGCTTTTGTAGATATCTTGGTTATATTTAAACATAAATTTAAAAAATAAGTGTGTTTGACCAGTAGCATGCTTTGGATTTTCATCTGGTGCCCTTTGGTTGTATATTACACTGTCCTTATAACAGACTGCCCCTAACTGCAACCAAACAGTAAGAGTCAAGTGTCTCACCTTTATGGTCTGTATTGCCCCAGATCCTCTTACATCTCTCAGGCTGTCTATGGCTTGCTGAGGTGACACAGTGTCAGATAGGTATAGAAGGAGACAAGCAGCTACTAAGAGAACATGCCAGAAAAATAATATATTATTAAAAAACTAGAGATAGGGTAAAACATTTGATATCTAACTAGATTTATGTTGGTATATGTGGGGAGCCACAACGAATGACCTCATTCTTCCAGTCCTTATGTCTCAGATTCTGAATGCAACTACTACATTCGTTCTGGTTAGGGTGGATTCTAGCTAGGATAGTAAGATGGTCTTCTTTGTGGGATGTGCCCCCGGGGTTGAGTTACACTCATCTTTCCCTCTTATCCCTGCCTCTCCTGGCCTTTTTTGGATAGAACTTTCTAAAGAACAAGAGTCCCCTCAGTGAAAGCTCACTTCTGAAGGTGATCTCTCTCTCCCTCCTTCCTTCCCCTTCCCTCCCTTACACCGCCACCCCCCGCTTCTTTCTCTCTCTCCTTTCTCTTGCTCTCCCTCTTGGGGAGCCTGAGGCCGAAAGTGGAGAAGCCATCCTGAAGCTTGTGTAAAGGTAATTTGTGTCTGTATTTGGTGTCCTTGCAAATTTGCACTAGCAATCTTAGGTTCAGCTGCACACAGGTTGGGGGTAGCAAGTATAGAAGACTCAATTTAAAGTATACAATTCAATAAATTTTAGTCTATTTACATGTGGCAACCATCATTACAGTCAATCTTGGGACATTTTTGTCACTTTAGACAGAAGTCGTGTGCCTTTTCACTATCACACCTTTCTATTACCCCATTAATCTCTGTTTTAAGCAACCAGTGATCTGTTTCTATAGATATGCTTATTTTGGACATTTCACATAAATGGTCATATGATATGTAGTCTTTTATGACTTCTTTTGCTTGTAATGTGGATCAAACAGAAGTCTACCTACTTTGAGGTTAAAAATATTATCATGAAAATATGTTTCTTACCAAGACAAGATCTCCCAAGTCCTCCATAACAGCTGAAAGGGAAATACAGTTTTGAAATTTATATATTGTCATTGCATCCAATGTTTTGACTAAAAGCTTGCTTTTCCTGCCTACTATCTAACTCCAATGCCTAGCACAGCACTTTGCACAGACATTAATATTGTTTAATTAACAAATCAAAAGTTGAGTGTGCTTATTTATTTGTGGAGAAGTATTCTGAATACCTCCAAGGGTCAGGATAAACAGGCCCCTTAATATTGACCCCTTTAAACCCCAAGATCCACATCTGAGAAATGGAGTGTGTTACTAGATTGGTAGAAATTGATCTATTTTTACTAACTGCTACTTTGATTATTCTCTTTTCGACAAAACCTGAGTGGTTACAGGACAAATGCTATCTGCACAGAAATAATTTATCTAGTGTCTTTAGAAAAGGAAAACACGACATGAAGTCAGAGACACACAAGGAGAATCCTGTGGTGACAGAAGCCGAGACCTGAGTGATAATTACTAGCCAAGGAACACTGAGGAATGACAGCTACCACCAGAAGCCAGGAAGAGGCAAGAAAGTCTTCTACCCAGTCTCAGAGAGTGTGGCTCTGTTGACACCTTGGTTTTGGACTTCTAGTCTCCAGAACTGGGAGAAAATAAATTTCTGTATTATAAGCCATCCAATCCTTGGTACTTTGTTACAAATAGCCCAAGGGAACAATGTAAACAGTAGCAACAGTGTTCACCAAGTTCATAAAGGACTAAAAATGTCCAAGCAGAACAAGCCAGAGAGCACTGGCAGAGAATGGGACCGTGAAAAAAATTTAGCAGACCCTCTTACTGTCTAGTAATATGAGCATTCAAAATAACAGAATGATAGAACATTATCTTTGTCCAAACAAACTTGTCATTGTAAGACCTTTGAAAGTTCTAGAATAAGGCAAAATTCTAGCCATCAGATGCAGTATTTTATGGGAGCCTGAAACATTCAATATATGCAAGCTCACCCATCCCCCTGTCCATCTCATCTGTATTCTGTTCAAACATTAGGGCATTTAGTTTGCTGAAACCTGCAATGGTAAAAATTGTTAAGCTTCAAAAAACCCAACTAGTTGGTGTTCAACTACTTTGGTCTTCAGAAACTTTTCAGTAGAAGTTTCTTTCAAAAAATGTTTTTGGCGGTGCGTGGTGGTGCATGCCTGTAATCCCAGCAGCTCGGGTGGCTGAGGCAGGAGGATCACAAGTTCAAAGCTAGTCTCAGCAACTTAATGAGAGCCTGTCTCAAATAACAAGAGTTAGGGATGTGGCTCAGTGGTTACATCCCCAGTACCAAATAAAATAACATATTATTTAATTATATATATTATATTATTTATTATATATTAAAATATCTATATATCATAGCTATTAAAAAAGGTTTCAGAATAAGTTTTTTAAAAAATGGGTCTAAAAATTGGAAACATACTTTTCACTAGCTATATTTAACTAATTACTATTTTGCTTATAGTTACCAGAAAATTAAGCAGAGATAATTGAGTCTATTCTGAAAATTTGCTTTTATAATTAGAACTAGATGAGAGACTATGCTTAAGAAAGTTTGGAAACCATAGAATGTTGGATGGCTTCTAGTTCTTTATTGCCCATCTGCAAGCTTTAGTTCTCTTTATATCAGACTTTAGATTGGCCACAAAAAGGTGTTATGTCACCAAAGACTCTGTACTGGTGGGCTTGCCTTTGGAATTGGTGCAATTAGATGAGGTTCAAGGAGAGAAGTTCGCTGGATTTTTCATTTCACAGGGGCCCTGAACCTATGCAGCTGATGGTAGAATCTGTACACCTTGAGCTCAAAGCAATGACTTGAAGTACCTTAAGAGTTTCTGAAGTAATCACACTTTAATGCTCTAATTTGTTCAGTAAAAATGAGGTGGCTTATTAAGTTACAAGAACGAGCAAAAAACAAAGTGAAGGACTAGCTTTAGCTCTCCTTTGCTCTGTGTCTCACTTCTGGAAAGTCATCTGTGGTTTATCATCCACAGTACCATTTCTAATGCTACAACCATTGCCACTCTCTTGTACCCTTATCCAAAGCTACTTCTTTCTTTCTTTTCTTTTTTTTTTTTTTTTTTGGTACTGGGGATTGAATCCAGGGGGGCTTACTCACTGAGCCACGTCCCCATTCCTTTTTTCGTATTTTATTTAGGGACAGGGTTTTGCTGAGTTGCTTAGGACCTTCTAAGTTGCTGAGGCTAGCTTTGAATTCGCGATCCTTCTGCCCAGCCTCTCCATTTTTAACCCATTTCGCTCCCTTTCCTTAACCCATTTTATTTTGTTTTAAACATTTATAACAGCAGCTTGTATTTTTTTTATAGCCACTGACTCAGTCCCATTTCATTCTGGTAACAAATGCATATCAAACAATTTTCAAGTCATATTCTTTAAGTTGCTCATTGCTTAGGGATGACTTATTTGCTGTAAATTTTGAAAAAAATTTTTTTTTTTTTGCTACTGAAAATAACTAAGCAACTAACTGATAGCCTAAATGACAAGTGAATAGTATATAACAATAATGCTCCACTTTTTGTGGTGGTGGTCCCCAAATTGCAACTTAAGGTCTAAGACAAAAATAAGGGCAGGGGGCAGGGAGCCTGTGACCTTATTCTAAAAATTTCCAATTAAACTTATTTCTTGTCCTTACTCTTGAAAAGCAGTAACAATAAATATCTGAGTGCTTACTTTGTACCAGGCATTGTGGCAGCACTTTCAATGCATTATGTCCTTTGAATCTTTACAATAAAAATATGAGGTGGGCAATAACTGAACAGTTTAAGAAACCATTTTGACTGGGACATTTCTCATGTAATGTATGCAGAAAAGGAGAACATACTGTATTAAGGTTTTTCGGTTATTCTTGAGACAGATTGCAAGCTCCTCCATTATATCACAGCAGCTGGCTATGTCAGGAGTCCCTCCATCTGGGATTGGATGGTGATGAGTTGTAATTCCATACTGCTGGTAGAGGTCCAGGAGGTTTGGGACTCTATATTTTGACAGTTCCCCTCTGGTGCAGAAAACAAATATGTCTTGTATACCATAGCTCTTTAGTTCTTCTGCCAACAGACCAAGATACACACAGACACACACATATGAAACATTACAAATTTAAATATGGTCAAGAGAGAGAATATGGAGTTAAGTTTCTTAAGCCAAACTAGTAACAAGTGATAATTTATAAATTTGAAATGCTGAATAATTAAATCTAATCATATAAGTCAAAATACTATGTACTGAATTCCAAGATGAGACAATTATATTGTGTATTGCTTTTCTTGCAAAAAAAGTTTATAATACTGCTTTAATATGAATCTGAAAATATCTAATACTATTAAACTCTTGAGAAGGAATGGATAGCACATTTGTTTTCCTCCCCACATCAACCATACTTGCTAATTAATCACTCTGCTGTTTATTTTATCGCAAACATTGTATATAAAACCTCTAGCCAGAGTTCTTGTATTACTCCTCATATCTGCTCTGTACCACACCATTGTGTATTTAATTTTATGGACCAGGTCTCTAGAAAATAAAGCATTAACTGTATTAATTACATTATTTAGTTATTTTCACTATAAGAACCAAGAAATATTACTATACGAATTCTATGCATGGGAACTTCTTTAGGGCAATTCACTCCAGAGCATTTAGTTCAGAATAAATAATCTTGGCTAATTTAAGTTTGCCCCTGCCCCCAAATCCAAGGACATTTAGCCACTGAGGTACAAAGTACCTTTTCTCTTGACCCTCTAGATCTGCAGTTGAAAGGTGGCTAGTCCAAACTGAGATGTACTGTAAAAGACATACCTAATTTCAAAGACTAAGCACACAAAAATAACTATCTCATTAATTATTTGCTTTATACTTAAAAGCTGGTGAAATGATAATTTAGGATATACTAAACTAAATAAAAGGTATTGTTAAAATTATTTTTACTTTTTTAATGTGGCAACTAGAAAATGTAGTTATAGATATGGCTTCCATTATATTTTATTAGACAGTGCTGCTCCTGATAAAACTATTATATTTTTTAAATTGGTAAACAAGTATTTATTAATATATCTAAGCATTTTTAAATGGGTAAGTAATTCTGTTTGCTTTTTGTACACATCAGAAAATTTCTACAGACTGTCCTAGAAAGGACTCTGAGGAGATGCCATGGTAACTAATGCAAGGAGAGTCAAGCCTGTTTTTCTGTGATGCTGACAGCTGAACCCATGGCTATATCCACAAACCACCAAAGTGGGGAAAAACTGAAAACCCTTTTAAGAAAGATACTAAATTAATAGGGCATTCCAAAATGTACAAGTTTGGTCTTGAACCAATGATTTAAATTATATTTTGCTTATAACTTAAATGTTCTCTAAAACAGAAATTTCCTATTACAGTAGGTTTGTCTAAAGCAGAAAATCTTTATAAATAACTGCAAGGGTCAACTCATCTATTAGCCTCATTAAGTCTTTTTGGGAGGTAAGGAGCAAATTAAAGTACATTAGCAAACTGATATTCTAGAACAACCAGAAAAAGATTTAAAATTTTTTTTTTTTAGTTGTAGATGAACACAATACCTTTATGTGGTGTTGAGGTTTGAACCCAGTGCCCTTTTTCTACCACTGAGAAAAAGATTCTAAGGTTTAAAAAAGCTATACTGGTCAGGGTCAAGCAATACATACATTCTTTATTTTTTGGAGTATAAAGATGTTGGTGGCACTAATAGGATTGAGATATTCCAGGCCAATCAGAATAAGATATTTTGAAAAGATTCATATTTATAAGTATTGTATTATATGAAAATTCCAAATGTGGATAGATTAGGTTTTGAAAATTATTATTAGACTTGAAGTTATAGTGTTTTGAATGTCCTTGGGCATGGAAAACCAGTTCCCACTCTGATTTCACCCTAGATGCTAGCTCTACATTTCCTATCCAGGATGGATGGTTTCATTGCTGCCTCTGGGTTCCCAGCTTGGGATTAATTCCTACTACCGCAGTCAAGTCTGCAAGGAAAAGAATGATCAAAGATCTAGATAGTACAAAAAGTCAGTTTCCTATTTATATAATTTCATCCTCTATCATATATACTAACCTCAAATACAGTTTTTATGTATAATATACAGCAGTTGGTGAAAAGCAAAGCCATGTTGAGATAAATGATGAGTTCTCTGTGTCTTTCACAAATACATTTTCACATATTAGAATAAGTTTATTTTTGAAACTTGAAGTATCAAACATTGATTGAGAAGAGACTATAGTTTGTTCCTTCTGATAAGGAGACTTTCAATGTTTTTTAAACTATTAGTATGGTTGTCTCATATTACACCTACCTGTATCTTTTTGAATATTTCTTCTAACATCTTTAAATTTACAACCTATAAGTAGTAATAATGCAAGTAAAAAAAAAGTCAGTTTTTGGTAATATATAACAAGCACATTTAAACACATATATAGCTACTTTTAGAAAATCATTCCATGTGACCATTTACTTTCAATTTAATTTTGAATGTGAATTTTAATTTCTTAGATTCTTCGGAACATAATTACAAGAATTCATAGATTCCAGTTGAAGAAACTCCTAAGCCAGCACTCTTTATTCTGTGTTTCTGTGATGAGTGGCTGGCTGTGGTCCTCAGCCTCATTTGTACCCCAGGGATTAAGTTTTATTAAGATAGGTAAATCAGAAATATAAAGCTCTGAAGGCAGCTCTGGAAGGGTTGAAGAATGGATCTGTGTACCTTTATCTATAACCAACCATGAAGGTTTCCAAAGTGAGTTACCCAGTCTAGATCTATGAGATTCTTTCATTGCTCAGTATACAGAATAATGTGTTAACAGTCAAAAAGATCTCCAAAATATATGAATAGGAAGCCAACTGTAGTATAACCTACCTGGCAGAGCACATAAACCAAGAAACTGAGAACAATTCACTTGTGACAGAGGTAGCCTGAAAAGAAAAATTTAACAAGTTCATTTTTAAAAAAAGTTATAAATGGCTAAGGTGCTATGGTGCATACCTGTGATCTCTGCTACTTGGGGGGAGGCTCAGGCAAAGACGATTGTTAAGTTTGAGGCTATTCCAAGGAACTTAGCAAAACCCTCTCTTAAAATATAAAAAGGGCTGGGGATATAGCTCTGTGGTACAGCACTTACCTAGCATGCACAAGGCCCTCAGTTCAATCCCCAGGATCCACCCACCATTTCCCACAAGCTGTAACTGGAAACTCAACCAACATGAATGCTTGTCACCAAATAAGGGTGTTTTAAAACTTTACAGAAGTCACAAAGCAAAAATTAATAGTTATATCCATAGGTGGATCACAAAAAAGCTTAGAAAGACTGAAAGATTTAAAATGAGAAGTTTTAAAACTTTAGCATTTGCTTTCTTAGAATTTAAGTCTTAAATGGTATGTTAGTTTAAATTTACTTTAAAGATAATCCCCGGTAGTATACAGGGTACTTAAGTTATTCTATGGGATGTTATTTGAGATATTTTGTATTTCAGGTTTAATATCCCTTATCTAAATTGTTTGTTACCAGATGTATTTCAGATTTTGGAGTTTTTGAATTGTGTTAATTTGCATAGAATTTATTGGTTGAGCATCCCTAATCTGAATATCTGACATCTGAAATATTCCAAAATTCAAAACCTTTTGAGTATCATGTTGGCACTCAAAGGTTTTGGATTTTAGAGCACTTCAGACTTCAGATTAGGGGTGCTTGATCTGTTGTAACTTTAGATAAACGAACTGAAGTATGACCATCTGACAATTCCATCTTTAGCATTCATTTTACATTACTATTTTAAGATTTTTTTGGTAGAACTACTTTAACAGATATGATTTCATATAATGACAACCATGGCTACCCATTCCTGTGGTAATGGATTTTGATTAAAATAAAATATTATCTGTTCCCAGTTTGCAGTACTTAGGGACAGAGGTTCATCCTGTTTTCAAGTCAGGAGATCAAGTTAGAGGAAAACAGGACGCATGATATAAATACTGTATGACATTAAAAAGGGCTGAAAAGGGGAATGAAAGGTAATGCTACTTGATGGCAGGACAACAGAACATCAGAGACAACACCATTTAATACTCCTTTCCTACTGTAGAGATGGTGCTTTCCTGAGGAGAGACAATTACATTCACAGGGATGAGAGGAAGCATTTTTTGGTTATAGAGAATCTGGTAAATCATAAATCACTTGCTAACACTTGGAAGTTGATTTTTTTATAGAAATTCTTTTTGGTTATTATATATATTTGGATTTTATCTTAAACAGAGTTTACTGACAGATGAATTACTATGACAAATGGTTGAAATATTATCTAAGATTTGACTTAATAATAAATGATTATCTTGCTGGGTGTGGTGGTGCATGACTCTAATCCCAGCTGCTCAGAAGGCTGAGCAGGAGGATTGCAAATTCAAAGCTAGCCTCAACAACTTAGCAAGGTCCTAAGCAACTCAGTGAGACTCTGTCTCTAAATAAAATACAATAGGGCTGGGGATGTGGCTCAGTGGTCAAGTGCCTGTGAGTTCAATCCCCGGTACCCGCCTGCCCCCCTTCCCCAAAATTATCTCATCCTACATTTGGTATACTATTCTTTGGCCTTAAAAGAATAAGTAGATTTTGGTGAGAGATCATTTAAAAAATCCTACCTCTACTCCTTATTTACTTGCTTCTATTAAGATTTTCTCAATTATAAATAAAGAGAACAAAAGGGCCTTATAAATTGCAGAGTTCAAAGATTAGAATTACATAATCAGAAGATAATCACTGAATGTTTTCAACATATGAATTATGTTCTACAAAGAGTACAACACTGATTAGAAATGCTAACATACCATGATATCTGAATTGGAGTCTGTTCATCTTCAATAGGCTCTTCATCTGAGGAGTCAAACTCACTTGCTTGTATTGAAATAGGCTTCAAAAGAAATGTTATGTTAGAAATTATAAAAGAAAATTTATATATAGCTGTAGCATAGTTGACTCTGGCCTAAACACCCACCGAATTCATATTTTCTATTTATTTTGTCACCAATCTGGACTATCAGACATCAGCAATATCAATAATAAATGATTACTATTTTACCATCCTATTAATAATCTTAGCACTGCATAGTGGAAAGATCATTGTACACAAGACTCTTCAGTTTATCCTGGATGTGTCTTCCTTAAATATGAAGTGAAGAGATTTGTTTACTTATTCACAAGCATTTCTTGGACACCTTCAGTGGCCAAAACTCTATAGAGATAGGAAGATCCATAAAGTAAATAGCTTGCCTTCAGTGTAGTTGTAGGGACAGATGTGTATAGATTACAAAAGAAACACTTTGAGACAGGGTCTTACTAAGTTGTTTAGGGCCTGCCTAAAGTGCTGAGGCTGGTTTTCAATTTTTGACCCTGCTTCAGCCTCCTGAGTCACTAGGATTACAGGCCTTTGCCACACCCAGCAGGAGGAGAACGATTTTAGTGCTAAAATGGAAGAAGAAACCACATGCCAGAGCGGAAAAGGGAGTGACTGACAACTTAAGGAACTAGAGAAGTCTTTACAGAGATGCTTACTCTGAATTTTGAAGGAAGAACAAGGTTTCTAGGCAGATACAGAGGAAGTTTAGGAAATTAAGACAAAAGAGAAAGGGTTTGTGTATTCAGAAACTGTGATGTTGAAATAGAGATGAAACAGAGGAGATGAAGCTAGCGAAGTAGTTTCTTAAAAAATGACTCCTATATAGGGGGCAGCTTGGTGGTGGATGGGTGGAGTACAGACGAACTAGCCTGCCCCCAAATTTACGAATCACTAGACTAGAATTGTTGAGATGGCCCCAGTGTGCTGATCTAAGCAGGTGGAACTCAATCCTGAAGGCAGAATTTTTTACATGAAAGCTTTGATACTTTGTATGAATTTACAAGACCAATTAAAAAAATACCCTTTTCCTGCTCCCTAGTTGGAACAAGCTGAGAAATAAGACATTGGATTGGTACATGGAAATCAAAATGTTATTGTCAAGCAAAAGATGTAGCTTAAAGCTATGGTTGAGTGAGCTTGCCACATCTCCACCCCATAATTAGACTAATCTTCCCAGTTACAGGCACTGATGGACAACCCAGGGCTCCTGTGTGACAAAGAGTAGTCCAGAAAGCACTTTCTGGAGGCAGGCACATAGATCTAGAGAGAGAAGTGAAGAAAAGGTTGAGCTACTTGTGTTCAGTTCCTCCGAAACTCAAAGATCAGATAACTTACTCTTCCCTTCTGGGGACAAATGGAGAAAGAGGCCAGGAGTTAAGGACAGCTGATGTCTCCCCACATGGAAACAGGGATTAGCAAGTGTAAACACCTAATGCCCTGTCTTAGCTCTTAAGTTATGTTCTATGATGATCCTGTTTGTTACTATAAGATCACATGACAGATTGATTTAAGATCTGAGTTGCTTTGGATCTATCTATAGTGTAATCAACTCAACCTCAAAGAAGGCCCTTCAATAGGATGTCAACCAAGGTGGGACTCCAGCTCCTTGCCAACGTCTGTTTTTCCTTTACTTTAAAGCAATTTTGATTAATAAAATTTTAAATTTGTGTGGGCCATTAGCTCTACTTCTCCTAATCAGGCTGGACATTTCTGCTTCCCTGGCCCCAGTGATTCTGAATCTCAGGGAAAGGAATGCAATGCCAAGTGTTCCTGGGGGATGGCGGCAGTTGTGATGTCGCCCCCAAGCCGGGGCAACACATTCGCATTCATGATTTTTCCTAGGGGTTTCATGGCAGCCTCCAGACACCTTTCAGGGGTGGGATACCACGCTTATTAATACGATGAAACACTTAACTCTTTATGCCTCATTTTTCTCCATAACCCTGGGCTTGGCCTTCTTTTGCAAGGCTGTCGAGAGGTTTATAAGAAACCCACAGGTAAAAAAAAAAAAAAAGAAACCCACAGGTGACAGACCACAGCAGGCACACAGTGAGTGTCTGACTTTCCCTCGTCCACCTCGAACCCAGGTCTGTGGGATCTGGCTCCTTCACAGCGGTCACTGTTGCCGGTGCGGGGAAGCGACACCTCCCCGACCCACAGGACGGTTAATGCGCGAGTCGCGCCGCGACCAATCCCGGGCTGTACGCCCAGTCTCAGAAAGGCCTAGAGAACTGCTCCGGTCCCTGCAGCTTCGATCCTCCAAGTCCCATCCTACCCGACTCACCGGCTTCATCGCTGGCCGCCGCACGCCTTGACCAGTGCCACCTCCCGGCTCAGCACCCGCGTCTCAGTCGCTGCCCCGCGGGGACCCCTCCTCTCCCTTCACCTCATTGGTATGTCTTCTGGGAGGTGGGGCGCGGCGTCTTCTAGGAACCAATCAAATCCTGGACCTGCTGTTTGCTCCGCCTCCAGGTGACCGGGCTTAGCCTTTAACCGCTCATTGGTTCTTAGAAGGCCTTTGAAAGACGCGCGGGAGGAGGGTCCTGCAGAACGTTGATTGGCTGGGGGCGTCCTCCTCCCGCCAGTTGGGAGCGTGGAGAGTACAGGGGGCGGGGAGAGGGGCGGGGCGAGTCTTCTGATAGCTCCCGCGCTTTGAGTCAATGCAAAGCTGTGCTTTCTAATGGCTGGAGGTACTTGTGGTTCAGGGTAGGGAGATTTTGCTTGCTTTCTTAAAGCAGGAATATGTGTAATAGGGTGCAGATCAACATTCCTCTTCACAAATACTAAGTAATATTGTATGAAAGGAAGAGAAAATGCTGCCAGGTGGGTTTACAGTGCCAGTGTTTTTACACGATCAGCTATCTTTACAGAATGTGTTCGATTATTTTCTCCTTTCCCCAGTTCCTATTTAACTGGCCATAGCAAAGGAAGACACCCAGAGCTATATTACCTACGCATCTGAGAAAAACATGCAAAAATTTCAACTCCCTGGCTCATGTCTGAAAGCCAGTGGGCATAAAGCTATTAGTATTCCGTAGTAAAGAAAAGGGCACAGTTTGACTTAGGGGCGGCGTTAGTCAGGGTTCTCCAGAGAAACAAAATGAACAGGATGTGTTCATGAATACATAGAAAGAGATTTTGAAGAATTGGCTCTCCTGTGGAGTCTTGGTGAGTCCCAATCTGAGGAGATAGGCCAGTGGGTTGGAGACTTGGGAGAGAGTTGTTCATATTCAAAGGTAGTCTGTTTGTAAGACCTGGAAGAGCCCAAGTTGGAGATAACTAACTCTGACGGCCATCTGCCAAAGAATTCCCCTTGTGCTGGGGAAGCCAGTTTTATTCTATTCAGGCCTTCAACTGATTGGATGAGGCTCACCCATGTTATGCCGGCAATCTGCTTTACCTAAAGTCCACCAATTTAAATGTAAATCTTATCCAAAGCTACCCTAACAGAAATATCCAGAATTATATTCCTCCAAATATCTTGGTATTTGGCTCAAAATTAACAAAACTTAACCATCATAAGACCCACTGGAATTTTCTATAGACAGGGAATTTTTTTAGATCTTTGCTATTCAATATGATACTGTATTGACCCATTATCTCCAAAATCAAACACACACACACACACACACACACACACACACAGAGGAAATGCTTCCTCATACGTATCCTCTTTTAATATAATTTGCTTCCTTAGATGATATTGCAGTAGAGCTGGGGAACTGGTCACAATCCACCACAGATTTATGACTATTGGTTTGGTCTGTTAGTTCATGCCGCAGTCTGGCTGGGCACAAATAACCGAGCCGCCACACAGCTTTGTAGGTTCAAACAGAAACTCTTTATTCCCCAACTCTCACCGGCACTGCAAACACACTCCTCGGGAACACACACCCTTCACCTGGCTCCACGTGCCCAATCTCTCCTCACCCCGCGAGAACTCCACGGGAACTCCAAAGTAGCGGGCGCCCAAGGCAGATTCCCGGAGCCACCCTATTCCCCCGGAGCAGGGTCCATGTACAACTCAATCAATCTAGCATCACAGCAATTATATACAGCTTAACTCAAATCATCATCTCAATGGTTCGATGGCGTCACCTTTCAACCATTCCCTCTGGCAATATGCCAGGCGTCATTCTGACTCGGCTGTGGCTCTCAACAAGTTCATATTTCAAATTGGTGACCCTGGTACTATGTACAAGGGGATATCTAGACTTAGAGTCCTGCCTTACTTATGTCAAATAATCAACAAGCATTTGAGGTGCACCAACTTTCTGATGTATGACTATGGTCATGGGCACTTTAAGTACAATGGCTGTGCCCAGTTTGAAATACATTTACATTTGCATATATTTGAAAGTAAACCAGTCTGGCCTGGGTGACATTGTGAAAGAGGTAAAGGTTGGTTATTAGCATTTGAGGCACTCATAGTTTAGCTTTGACCCCACTCTCTCACAGGTTAAAGTGAAGAAGACTGGGAAGGTGTGTTGAAGGAAAAGAAAATGTCAGAAGCACCTGACCTATTTGCTTTGCTGCAAGGTCACTGAGAGAAAACAGGGACCAAAGAAAGGGATAGGAAGGAGAAAAACTGGTTGCTATGGTTTGGAAAGTGTCCTCCAAAGGCACTTGTATTAAAGTCCTGATTGACAGCCTGTGGTGCTCTTGGGAGATGGTGCAACTTTTCAGAGGTGGAGCCTTATGGGAGGAAGTTAGGTCACTGAGGGTTACACCCTTAAAGAGAATATTTGAACCCCAGGCCCTTTCTGTTTCTCTTTTACTTCTTAGTTGCCATGAGGTTAACAGCTTTCTACACCACACACCATTAAAAAGAAAATACAGACTTCTTGGCTATCTGATGGAATAAGAATCTATACCAGGGCTGGGGTTGTAGCTCAGTGGAAGAGCACTAATATGCTCACATATAAGATTACCTAGGTGGTCTGCATGTGTGAGGCACTGGTTTTGATCCTCAGCACCATACAAAAATAAATAAATAAAATAAAGATATTGAGTCCATCTACAACTAAAAATATATATATTGAAAAAAAGAATCTCTACCAGAGGCAGAATATTTAGTCATTGGGTAGAAGCATTTGGAACTATGTGATCTTTAACAATAACGAGTAACAACTGCCATTTTCCAAGAGCTTTTTTATGTATTGGGCACCGTTTTAAGATCTTTTACTGCATCTTTTTCTTTTAATTCATTTCACTTAGTTATCCAAAGAGGTGGGTCAGAAAGATGAGCAACTTGCTCAAGGTTAACTGCAAGTGAGAGCAGGGAATTGACCCAGGTGGGTGGATGCTACAGGCTGATGTTCTTGAGCACTATGTATGCTATTCTGCATCTCTAGAAAAATTTGTTGTCTGTATCTTTTAGATGTGTGCTCAATTGAGTGTCCCAGAACTTGGGCACAGGTGGCATACTAGGTGTTAAACTAGTAAAAATGCTCACATATTAGATTACCTAGGTGGTCTGCAGAAGTTAATTGAGATAAAATGGAACTCCAGACAGAGCTGTGCAAAAATAGGATCAGGGGAATCAGACTATAATATGAAGAAGGCAGAACTGAATGTGAAAGAGAACTCTAACTTGGTAACTATAGTGTTAAATCTGTATTAAGTATATCCCAACAAAATGGCAGCTGGCTGGAAGTCCAGCTAAGGAAGCACTCTAAAAAGGAAATGTCCATGTTTTTTCTTGCCCTTCCCAGGAGGGGTATAGCAGAGATTGGTGTTTCACCTAACAATTTCTTCCTCTACTCAGGCACACAGCTACTTTTTCCAGTTTTCTTTACAGCTCGATGTTCATGTACCTGAGTTCCTGCTAGTGAGTGGGAGGTGATATGTGCCACTTCTAGACCTTGCTAAGAGACTCTTGCACAAATTCATCTCCATACTTTGAGCATCAGCTGATGCAAAGGAGCAGTTCAACCTTGGGAAGTAAGAAGAAAAAGCGCAGCAATTTTAAGATGCTATTGGTGGCAAGATGTAGCTTAATTTAAAAAAATATTTAATACTTAAAAATAAAATCTTAATTATAGATGTTCACAGGGATATTTTAATCACTGGAAAGGTCCATCTCCATTAAAAATGGTATGTTGGCATTTGGTTTATTGCCGCGTCCGGCCAAGGGAGCCGAGTCCGGCGAGGGACGGCGAGGTTAAAAGACACACAGGACACCAAGGTTCTTCATCCAGGAGTCAATAATAATCTTTATTGCTAACACACCTTTTTTTTATACCCCAAGCAGCAGAAGTGGAAAACTACCCAAAAGCAGGAGGGAGGGGGGAGAAATTTAGTTTCAACATCTATTATTGTCAGGTACCGAAACCTCCCTTAACAATAAGTCCATCAGACCAGAAAAGGTCAAGGCATTCCCGTGGGATACATATGTCTCAGACGGACAAGCAGGAACAGAAAAACCGCAAGTTCGCCATGGCCTTGTGAGCTGGCCACACTGGCATGCAGAACAAACTAGTGGAGGTAGGGCTCCAGGGGCCAAGGTGGACCTGTTGCCAACAAGTCCCCCTCTTTTGTTTTTTGCATGCCAGTGGGAATCAAGTAGCCCCTGTCTTAGGTCGTTCACAGCCCTTGCGATGCTTACCCGTCTCTGGGAAGGCCCCGATTCCCTGGCTTAGGTCGCACAGCAAGCGTGAAAGTTGCCCGTCACTGGGTACTACAAGATCAGCTCAAGGTGTTATGACCTATCAAGACATTATTGCGGTAAACGCTTAACCGTCTCCACCCACGGGACCCATGACCGTCACCGCCGAATGGCAGATGTGATTGGACCGAGAGATTAGACAGCAAAGATCCTAGTACAGGAAGGCAAGAGGGAGAGGTATGCATAGAGAAAAGATATGGCAGGAGTTCTTCTTTTAAGGAGGACACTCATCTTCGGATAGGTCTGAAGTATATCTCAGAGAGGCGATCATCCATCTTCAAGCGTTGATAGTGAACCTGTATTGGCTTAGAGGCTAAGATATTAATTTGATCCTTAATGAATTGTACTATCTTATTTACAATGCAGGGTCCTATTGCCACTACTAGAAGGAGGCCTAACAATGGTCCCAATAAGGGAAGAAGATAAGGCAAAAATCCATTAAGTCCAGTCCAGAGAGGGTTCTCAAATAATTCCCTCCTCCTTTTTTCTAGGTCTTCTTGGAGTTGTTTAATTTTTGTGCGAACTATGCCAGATTTGTTAGCATAAAAACAGCACCTCTCCCCAAGGGCTAAACAAATTCCCCCTTGATTGGCAGTAAGCAAGTCTAAACCCTGCCTGTTCTGAAGAACTACTTCTGCTAGGGAGTCTATCTGGTCTTGTAGGTCCTGAAGAAGTCTCCACTTCCCAGACCCCTTTTGTATAACAAAAATAGGGGTATTCCAAGGGG